TGACCCCCCAACCCCCTCCCTGACCCCCCAAACGCGTCCCCTCCCCGCAGAGGAGGCCAAGGCCGAGCGGGAGCCCCGGGCGGAGCCGCGGCCCAACGGGCGGCGCGAGGACAGGGCCGAGAAACCGCGCTTCATGTTCAACATCGCCGACGGCGGCTTCACGGGTGAGCCGGGGACACCGGGGACACCGGGACAGCCTGGGGACACCGGGACAGCCTGGGGACAGCCTGGGGACAGCCTGGGGACACCGGGGGCACCAGGGACACGGGGACAGCCTGGGGACAGCATGGGGACACCGGGGACAGCCTGGGGACCCCGGGGACACCAGGGACAGCCTGGGGACAGCCTGGGGACACCGGGGGCACCAGGGTCAGCCTGGGGACAGCCTGGGGACAGCGGGACAGCCTGGGGACACCGGGGACAGCCTGTGACCCGCTGTCCTCCCAGAGCTGCACACGCTGTGGCAGAACGAGGAGCGCGCCGCCATCTCCTCGGGGAAGCTCAACGAGATCTGGCACCGGCGCCACGACTACTGGCTGCTGGCCGGCATCGTCCTGTATCCTTGGGAACCAACCGGGGTTCACTGTGGGAACTGGGGTGTCACCGGGGGAACTGGGGTGTCCTCGGGCTGGGGACAGTGACACCACAATGAGGGTGACATGGTGAGGGTGACAGCACAGTGATGGTGACAGCATGGTAAAGGTGACACTGGTGACATTGGTGCCTGGCTGCTGGCCGGCATCGTCCTGTATCCTTGGGAACCAACCGGGGTGTCCCCAGGGGTGGGGATAGTGACACCACGGTGAGGGTGACAGCACAGTGACGGTGACAGCCATGAGAGGGTGACAAAGTGAGGGTGACAGCCAGGAGAGGGTGGCATCCATGCTTGGTGTGCTGGATATGGGGACACTGGAGACAGGGAGAGGCAGACACAGTGACAGGTGACACAGTGACACGATGACACAGTGACAGGTGGCACAGTAACCCAGTGACACAGTGACATGGTGACACAGTGACACGGCGACACAGGGACAGGTGACACAGTGACACGGTGACACGGTGACAGGTGACAGGTGACACGGTGACAGGTGACACAGTGACAGGAGACACGGTGGCAGTGGCTCCTTAGCGCGCAGCCACGGCTCCGGGGATGTTGGGGACAGGGAGATGTGATGATGCAGTGACAGGTGACACGGTGACACGGTGGCAGTGGCTCCTTAGCGCGCAGCCACGGCTCTGGGGATGTTGGGGACAGGGAGATGTGATGATGCCGTGACAGGTGACACAGTGACACGGTGACAGGTGGCACGGTGGCAATGGCTCCTTAGCGCGCAGCCACGGCTCTGGGGATGTTGGGGACAGGGAGATGTGATGATGCCGTGACAGGTGACACAGTGACACGGTGACAGGTGGCACGGTGGCAGTGGCTCCTTAGCGCGCAGCCACGGCTACGCGCGCTGGACCGACATCCAGAACGACGGCGCCTTCGGGGTCATCAACGAGCCCTTCAAGGGCGAGGCCTCCAAGGGGAACTTCCTGGAGATGAAGAACAAGTTCCTGGCGCGCCGCTTCAAGGTCAGCCCCGCCGCGGCGCCGGCTGGCACCGGGTGGCACCGGGGTGACAGCGAGGGTGGCACGGGGTGACAGCAAGGGTGGCACTGGGGTGGCACCGGGGTGACAGCGAGGGTGGCATGGGGGTGACAGCCAGGGTGGCACTGGGGTGGCAGTGAGGGTGGCACGGGGGTGGCAGCGGTGGTGGCACTGGGTGACAGGGATGGTGGCACTGGGTGGCAGGGGTGGTGGCACTGGGGTGGCAGCGAGAGTGGCACGGGGGTGACAGGGTGGCACGGGGGTGATGAGGGTGACGGTTGATGGGTGACAGCCAGGGTGGCACTGGGGTGGCAGTGAGGGTGACACTGGGTGGCCCTGCACGAGGGGCTGGGATGAGCAGGAAGGGGGCCAGGGGCTCTGGGACACCTGGGTGGGGGCTGCAGCTGTTGGGTGACATCGGGGTTGGACACCTGGACATCTGGGTCATCCAGATGTTGATGAGGTCAGGGCTGGACCCACCAACAGCTGGACCCTCCAGCTGTTGATGGGGGTGGGTGTCTGGACACCTGGGCCCTCCACATGTTGGGTTTCCCCACACCTAACCCCAAAACAACCTGGACCTTCCAGCTGTTGATGAGGTCAGGGTTGGACCCACCAACACCTGAACCCTCCAGATGTTGATGGAGTCAGGATTAGACCCACAAATACCTGGCCCTTCCAGCTGTTGATGAAGTCAGGGCTGAACCCACCAACCCCTGAACCCTCCAGCTGTTGGTGAAGGCAGGGCTGAACCATCAACACCTGGACCCTCCAGCTGTTGGTGAAGGCAGGGCTGACCCCAACACCTGAACCCTCCAGCTGTTGGTGAAGGCAGGGCTGACCCCACAAACACCTGGCCCTTCCAGCTGTTGGTGAAGGCAGGGCTGACCCCACCAACACCTGAACCCTCCAGCTGTTGGTGAAGGCAGGATTAGACCCCACCAACCACTGAACCCTCCAGATGTTGATGGAGTCAGGATTAGACCCCACCAACCACTGAACCCTCCAGATGTTGATGGAGTCAGGATTAGACCCCACCAACCACTGAACCCTCCAGATGTTGGGTTTCCCCACACCTGACCCCACCAACACCTGAACCCTCCAGCTGTTGGTGAAGTCAGGGCTGACCCCACCAACACCTGAACCCTCCAGCTGTTGGTGAAGGCAGGGCTGACCCCAACACCTGAACCCTCCAGCTGTTGGTGAAGGCAGGGCTGACCCCACCAACACCTGGACCCTCCAGCTGTTGGTGAAGGCAGGGCTGAACTCACCAACACCTGAACCCTCCAGGTGTTGGGTTTCCCCACACCTGACCCCAAAACAACCTGGACCCTCCAGCTGTTGGTGAAGGCAGGGCTGACCCCACCAACACCTGAACCCTCCAGCTGTTGGTGAAGGCAGGGCTGAACTCACCAACACCTGAACCCTCCAGGTGTTGGGTTTCCCCACACCTGACCCCAAAACAACCTGGACCCTCCAGCTGTTGGTGAAGGCAGGGCTGACCCCAACCCCTGCACCCTCCAGCTGTTGGGTTTCCCCACACCTGACCCCAAAACAACCTGGACCCTCCAGCTGTTGGTGAAGGCAGGGCTGACCCCAACCCCTGCACCCTCCAGCTGTTGGGTTTCCCCACACCTGACCCCAAAACAACCTGGACCCTCCAGCTGTTGGTGAAGGCAGGGCTGACCCCAACCCCTGCACCCTCCAGCTGTTGGGTTTCCCCACACCTGACCCCAAAACAACCTGGACCCTCCAGCTGTTGGTGAAGGCAGGGCTGACCCCAACCCCTGCACCCTCCAGCTGTTGGGTTTCCCCACACCTGACCCCAAAACAACCTGGACCCTCCAGCTGTTGGTGAAGGCAGGGCTGACCCCAACCCCTGCACCCTCCAGCTGTTGGGTTTCCCCACACCTGACCCCAAAACAACCTGGACCCTCCAGCTGTTGGTGAAGGCAGGGCTGACCCCAACCCCTGCACCCTCCAGCTGTTGGGTTTCCCCACACCTGACCCCAAAACAACCTGGACCCTCCAGCTGTTGGTGAAGGCAGGGCTGACCCCAACCCCTGCACCCTCCAGCTGTTGGGTTTCCCCACACCTGACCCCAAAACAACCTGGACCCTCCAGCTGTTGGTGAAGGCAGGGCTGACCCCAACCCCTGCACCCTCCAGCTGTTGGGTTTCCCCACACCTGACCCCAAAACAACCTGGACCCTCCAGCTGTTGGTGAAGGCAGGGCTGACCCCAACCCCTGCACCCTCCAGCTGTTGGGTTTCCCCACACCTGACCCCAAAACAACCTGGACCCTCCAGCTGTTGGTGAAGGCAGGGCTGACCCCAACCCCTGCACCCTCCAGCTGTTGGGTTTCCCCACACCTGACCCCAAAACAACCTGGACCCTCCAGCTGTTGGTGAAGGCAGGGCTGACCCCAACCCCTGCACCCTCCAGCTGTTGGGTTTCCCCACACCTGACCCCAAAACAACCTGGACCCTCCAGCTGTTGGTGAAGGCAGGGCTGACCCCAACCCCTGCACCCTCCAGCTGTTGGGTTTCCCCACACCTGACCCCAAAACAACCTGGACCCTCCAGCTGTTGGTGAAGGCAGGGCTGACCCCAACCCCTGCACCCTCCAGCTGTTGGGTTTCCCCACACCTGACCCCAAAACAACCTGGACCCTCCAGCTGTTGGTGAAGGCAGGGCTGACCCCAACCCCTGCACCCTCCAGCTGTTGGGTTTCCCCACACCTGACCCCAAAACAACCTGGACCCTCCAGCTGTTGGTGAAGGCAGGGCTGACCCCAACCCCTGCACCCTCCAGCTGTTGGGTTTCCCCACACCTGACCCCAAAACAACCTGGACCCTCCAGCTGTTGGTGAAGGCAGGGCTGACCCCACCACCCCCGGACCCCCCTGACCCCTGCGTCCCCCGCAGCTGCTGGAGCAGGCGCTGGTGATCGAGGAGCAGCTGCGCCGCGCCGCCTACCTGAACATGACGCAGGACCCCAGCCACCCCGCCATGGCCCTGAACACGCGCTTCGCCGAGGTCGAGTGCCTGGCCGAGAGCCACCAGCACTTGTCCAAGGAGTCGCTGGCGGGCAACAAGCCGGCCAACGCCGTGCTGCACAAGGGTAAGAGGCGGCAGGGCCGGCGCGCCCGGCGCGGGCGCCCCGTGTAGCGCCCGCCTCGCTCGCTGCTCTGTACGCGCCTCCGCGCCATTAAAGAGGGGTTTGCTCCAACGCCGCCTCCCGGTGTCTCCTTGCTCTGCGTGCGCTTCCGGGGGGGCGGAGCCGCCGCGCGGGGGGCGGGGCCGCCGGCGGGCGCGGAGGAGGAAAGTCGGAGTAGAGTCGGAGTAACAGCATAGCAAAGTTGGAGTAAAGTCAGAGGAAAGTCAGAGTAATGGCGTAGCAAAGTTGGAGTAAAGTCAGAGTAATGGCAGAGTAATGGCATAGCAAAGTCAGAGTAAAGTCAGAGTAATGGCATAGCAAAGTCGTAGGAAAGTCAGAGTAACGGCGTAGCAAAGTCGTAGGAGAGTCGGAGTAAAGTCAGAGTAATGGCGTAGCAAAGTCGTAGGAAAGTTGGAGTAAAGTAATAGTAAAGTAGGAGTACAGTTGGAGTAAAGGCCAAGTAAAGTTGGCGTGAAGTAGTAGTAATATCACAGTAAAGCCAGAGTAAAGTCAGAGTAAAGTAGTAGTAATATCATAGTAAAGTCAGAGTAAAATAGTAATATAGTAAAGTCAGAGTAAAGTCGGAGTACAGTTGGAGTAAAGTAATAGCAAAGTTGGAGTAAAGGCCAAGTAATGTCATAGTAAAGTCGGAGTAATGTCAGAGTAAAGTCAGAGTAACATAGTAGTAATACCAGAGTAAAGTTGGAGTAAGGTTGAGGTAAACTCCAGGTAAAGTCATGGTGAAGTAGGCGTAACGTTGGAGTAAAGTCATAGTAAAGTCATACTAAAATCCTAGTAAAATCATAGTAAAGTTGGAGTAAAGAAGTAGTAAAGTCATAGTAAAGTTGGAGTAAAGTCGTGATAAAGTTGGAGTAAAGTCCAAGTAAAGTCGTAGTAAAGTTGGAGAAAGGTCGGGGTAAAGGTGGAGTAAAGTCAGAGTAAAGTTGCAGTAAGATCGGGGTAAAGTCTGAGTAAATTCGGAGTAAAGTCCGCGTAGAGGCGGAATAGAGTCCGACTGAATTTGGACTAAAGTTCGAGTAAAGTCAGCGTAAAGGCAGAGTAAAGTCCAAGTAAAGTCTGAGTAAATTCAGAGCAAACTTGGAGTAAAGTCCAAATAAATTCAGAGTAAAGGCAGAGTAAAGTCCGTATAAAGGTGGACTAAAGTCCAAGTAAAGTGCGCTCAAAGGCAGAGTAAAGTCTGAGTAAATTTGGAGTAAAGTCTGAGTAAAGCCAGCGTAAAGGCAGAATAAAGTCTGAGTAAATTTGGAGTAAAGTCCGAGTAAAGCCAGCGTAAAGGCGGAGTAAATTCTGAGTAAATGGTGAGTAAAGTGCAAGTAAAGGCAGAGTGAGGTGAGCGTAAAGGCGGAGTAAAGCCCGAGTAAGCTCGGAGCGGAGCCCGTGCAGGCGGGAGGCGCGCGGGGGGCGTGGCTTGGCGCTGAGCTGGCTCTGCTGAGTGGCCGCGGTGTAAAGCTGGAGTAGGTCCCCGGTGCCGCCCTGTGTGTAACTCTGGAGTAGTTTACACCTTGGGCCCTCCTCCCCCCTCCCTCCCTCCTCCCTCCTCGCCCGGGGGTGTTTTGGCAGAGTATCCCCAGAGTATCCCCGGAGTATCCCTGGAGTATCCCTGGAGTATCCCCGCAGTGCATGCTGTGAGTAAGGCTGGAGTAAGGCTGGAGTAGCGCCGGTGTTTGCATGGCTGGAGCACCCTGGTGTAAGCCCGGAGTATCCCCAGTGTAAACCCGGAGGATCCCCAGTGTAAGCCTGGAGTATCCCCACTGTAAACCCGGAGGATCCCCGGTGTAAGCCCAGAGTATCCCTGGTGTAAGCCCGGAGTATCCCCGGTGTAAGCCTGGAGTATCTCCAATGTAAGCCCGGAGTATCCCTGGTGTAAGCCCGGAGGATCCCCGGTGTAAGCCCGGAGTATCCCCAGTGTAAGCCCGGAGTATCCCCGGTGTAATTAATGAGTAAAGCCCAGAGGATTCTGGCGGGATGGGCTGAGTAAACCCGGAGTATCCCTGGTGTATTTAATGGCAGGAGTATCCCCGGAGTAACTCCAGAGCAGGCCCGGAGTCACCTCCGGTGTGTCCGAGGAGTAACCCTGGAGTAACCCTGGAGTATCTCCGGAGTACCTGCAGGAGTTACTCAGAGCGAGGAGCGCAGCTGGGGGATCTCCGCTGTGGGCGAGGCCCACCCTGAGTAAATCAGGAGTAAACCTTGAGTAAGCCGGGAGTGCACCCAGAATAAGGAGTGCACCCGGAGTAACTCCGGAGTATCCCCAGAGTAACTCCGGAGTATCCCCAGGTATCCCCAGCCCACTCACACCCCTCCCCCACGCATGCCCCCTCCCCCACACAGTTCCAACCCTGAGTAAGCTCCGAGTACCCCCTGAGTAACTCCCACCCACCCCCTCCCCATGAGTAACCTATGAGAAACCTGTGAGTAAGCTGTGGGTAACCCATGAGTAAGCCGTGAGTAGGCTGTGAGTAAGAGTAAGCAGTGTGTAGCCTATGAGTAAGCCATGAGCAGGCTGTGAGCAGGCAGTGAGTTAGCAGTGAGTAACCTGTGAGTAAGCAGTGAGCAGGCGCTGATGGGCGCTCTCTCTCTTCCCACATGGGCAGTGAGTTAGCAGTGAGTAACCTGTGAGTAAGCAGTGAGTATCCTGTGAGCAGCAGGCACTGACGCGCTCTGTCTCTCCCCGCGCGGGCAGTGAGCAGTGAGTTAGCAGTGAGTATCCTGTGAGTAGCCGGCGCTGACGCGCTCTCTCTCTCCCCGTGCGGGCAGTGAGTTAGCAGTGAGTAAGCAATGAGTCAGCAGTGAGTAAGCAGTGAGTTAGCAGTGAGTATCCTATGAGCAGCCGGCGGCTGACAGGCGCTCTCTCCCTGTGCGTGGGCAGTAAGCAGTGAGTAACCTGTGAGTAAGCAGTGAGTAAGCAGTGAGTAAGCAGTGAGTATCCTGTGAGTATCCTGTGAGCAGCCAGCATCCGGCTCTCTCTCTCCCCACGGGGCAGTGAGTAACTTGTGAGTTAGCAGTGAGTAAGCAGTGAGTAAGCAGTGAGTATCCTGTGAGCAGGCGCTGACGCGCTCTCTCTCTCCCCGCGCGGCAGTGAGTAAGCAGTGAGTAACCTGTGAGCAGCAGGCGCTGATGCGCTCTCTCTCTCCCCGCGTGGGCAGTGAGCAGTGAGTTAGCAGTGAGTATCCTGTGAGTTAGCAGTGAGTTAGCAGTGAGTTAGCAGTGAGTATCCTGTGAGTTAGCAGTGAGTGAGCAGTGAGTGAGCAGTGAGTGAGCAGTGAGTATCCTGTGAGTATCCTGTGAGTAAGCAGTGAGTAAGCAGCGGGCTGACGCGCTCTCTCTCTCCCGCGGGCAGTGCTGAACCAGCTGGAGGAGCTGCTGAGCGACATGAAGGCGGACGTGACGCGCCTGCCGGCCACGCTGTCCCGCATCCCGCCCATCGCCGCGCGCCTGCAGATGTCCGAGCGCAGCATCCTCAGCCGCCTGGCCAGCAAGGGCACCGAGAGCCACCCTCCTCCTGTGAGGGACACCCTGGGGACACTGACACTGTCACACTGCCAGCTTATCACACTGTCACCCTGTCACCCTGCCACCCTGCCACCCTGTCACACTGCCCTGGGGACATCAGCATTGTCACCCTGCCCCTGCCATCCTCAGCCGCCTGGCCAGCAAGGGCACCGAGAGCCACCCTCCTCCTGTGAGGGACACCCTGGGGACACTGACACTGTCACACTGCCAGCTTATCACACTGTCACCCTGTCACCCTGCCACCCTGCCACCCTGTCACACTGCCCTGGGGACATCAGCATTGTCACCCTGCCCCTGCCATCCTCAGCCGCCTGGCCAGCAAGGGCACCGAGAGCCACCCTCCTCCTGTGAGGGACACCCTGGGGACACTGACACTGTCACACTGCCAGCTTGTCACACTGTCACCCTGTCACACTGCCACCCTGCCACCCTGTCACACTGCCCTGGGGACATCAGCATTGTCACCCTGCCCCTGCCATCCTCAGCCGCCTGGCCAGCAAGGGCACCATCAGGAGGTGATCCCGGGAGGTGACATAGCGGGGGTGGCACTAGGAGGCAACCTTGGAGGTGACCCTGGGAGGTGACAGCAGGAGGTGGCACCAGGCGGTGACATTGGAGGTGACCCTGGGAGGTGACAGCAGGAGGTGGCACCAGGCGGTGACACAAGGGGGTGACCCGGGAGGTGACACTGGGGGGGGTGACCCCGGGAGGTGACAGCGGGAGGTGGCACCAGGAGGTGACAGTGGGGGGTGGCACCAGGAGGTGACATTGAAGGTGGCAGCAGGCAGTGACACAAGGTGGTGACCCTGGGAGGTGACCCCGGGAAGTGACACAAGGGGGTGACCCGGGAGGTGACACTGGGGGGGGTGACCCCGGGAGGTGACAGCGGGAGGTGGCACCAGGAGGTGACAGTGGGGGGTGGCACCAGGAGGTGACATTGAAGGTGGCAGCAGGCAGTGACACAAGGTGGTGACCCTGGGAGGTGACCCCGGGAAGTGACACAAGGGGGTGACCCGGGAGGTGACACTGGGGGGGGTGACCCCGGGAGGTGACAGCGGGAGGTGGCACCAGGAGGTGACAGTGGGGGGTGGCACCAGGAGGTGACATTGAAGGTGGCAGCAGGCAGTGACACAAGGTGGTGACCCTGGGAGGTGACCCCGGGAAGTGACACAAGGGGGTGACCCGGGAGGTGACACTGGGGGGGGTGACCCCGGGAGGTGACAGCGGGAGGTGGCACCAGGAGGTGACAGTGGGGGGTGGCACCAGGAGGTGACATTGAAGGTGGCAGCAGGCAGTGACACAAGGTGGTGACCCTGGGAGGTGACCCCGGGAAGTGACACAAGGGGGTGACCCGGGAGGTGACACTGGGGGGGGTGACCCCGGGAGGTGACAGCGGGAGGTGGCACCAGGAGGTGACAGTGGGGGGTGGCACCAGGAGGTGACATTGAAGGTGGCAGCAGGCAGTGACACAAGGTGGTGACCCTGGGAGGTGACCCCGGGAAGTGACACAAGGGGGTGACCCGGGAGGTGACACTGGGGGGGGTGACCCCGGGAGGTGACAGCGGGAGGTGGCACCAGGAGGTGACAGTGGGGGGTGGCACCAGGAGGTGACATTGAAGGTGGCAGCAGGCAGTGACACAAGGTGGTGACCCTGGGAGGTGACCCCGGGAAGTGACACAAGGGGGTGACCCGGGAGGTGACACTGGGGGGGGTGACCCCGGGAGGTGACAGCGGGAGGTGGCACCAGGAGGTGACAGTGGGGGGTGGCACCAGGAGGTGACATTGAAGGTGGCAGCAGGCAGTGACACAAGGTGGTGACCCTGGGAGGTGACCCCGGGAAGTGACACAAGGGGGTGACCCGGGAGGTGACACTGGGGGGGGTGACCCCGGGAGGTGACAGCGGGAGGTGGCACCAGGAGTGGTGACATCAGGTGACCCTGGGAGGTGACATTTGGGGGTGGCACCAGGAGGTGACCCCAGGAGGTGACAGAGGAGGGTGACAGCAGGAGGTGACATCAGGTGACCCCGGGAGGTGACATTGGGCGGTTGGCACTAGGAGGTGACATTGGGAGGTGACAGTGGGGGGGGTGGCACCAGGAGCTGACAGAGCAAGGTGACCCTGGAGGTGACCTCAAGAGGTGACAGCGGGAGGTGGCACCAGGTGGTGACACAAGGGGGTGACATCAGGAGGTGATCCCGGGAGGTGACATAGCGGGGGTGGCACTAGGAGGCAACCTTGGAGGTGACCCTGGGAGGTGACAGCAGGAGGGGGCACCAGGCGGTGACATTGGAGGTGACCCTGGGAGGTGACAGCAGGAGGTGGCACCAGGCGGTGACACAAGGGGGTGACCCGGGAGGTGACACTGGGGGGGGGGACCCCGGGAGGTGACAGCGAGGTGGCACCAGGGGGTGACAGGGGGGGGTGACCCCGGGAGGTGACAGCGGGAGGTGGCACCAGGAGGTGACAGTGGGGGGTGGCACCAGGAGGTGACATTGAAAGTGGCAGCAGGCAGTGACACAAGGGGGTGACCCGGGAGGTGACATTGGAGGTGACCCCGGGAGGTGACATTGGAGGTGGCACCAGGAGGTGGCAGCAGGCGGTGACCCCGGGAGGTGACACTGGGGGCGGTGGCATCGGGGGTGGCACCAGGCGGTGACACAAGGGGGTGACCCGGGAGGTGACAATAGGAGGTGGCACCGGGCGGTGACCCGGGAGGTGACATTGGAGGTGGCACCAGGCGGTGACACAAGGGAGTGACCCCGGGAGGTGACACTGGGGGGGTGACCCCGGGAGGTGACAGCGGGAGGTGGCACCAGGCAGTGACACAAGGTGGTGACCCCAGGAGGTGACACTGGGGAGGTGACATTGGGGGTGGCAGCAGGCGGTGACCCCGTGAGGTGACATCGGGGGAGGTGACATCGGGGGTGACCCGGGAGGTGACATTGGAGGTGGCACCAGGCAGTGACACAAGGGGGTGACCCCGGGAGGTGACACTGGGGGAGGTGACATCGGGGGTGGCAGCGGGCGGTGACACTGGGGGGGTGACCCCGGGAGGTGACACTGGGGGAGGTGACACTGGGGGTGGCACCGGGCGGTGACACAAGGGGGTGACCCTGGGAGGTGACAGTGGGGGGTGGCAGCAGGCGGTGACCCCGGGAGGTGACACCGGGGGCGGTGACACCGGGGGTGGCACCGGGCGGTGACCCCGCGTCCCCTCCCTGTCCCCAGAGCTTCCCGCCCGGGCCCTACGCCACCCCCCCGAGCTACGGGGGCGCCTTTGGGACCCCCCCGGCCGGAGCCCTCCCCCACCCCGGGGGGGCCAACTACAGCCAGATGCCCCCGGGCTCCTTCATCTCCGGTGAGGGAAAC